ACAGATCTCCCTGTAGCTTCCATCCCAACAGATGGCAATAAATGTAATGAAAGTTCTCTCTATTTGCCTTTAAAAGCTTTAAAAATAATAATAATAAAAAATACTCACCCTTAATCATATAATTCTGTAAGTAGAAAAATAAAACCCTCTATGATCTTTTCTGAACTTCACTATTAAACAACGGCATATTCAAAAAAGAAAGTTTCCAAAAACAGAGCCACTTCCTGAGAGAAATGCTTAACCAACGAGCCAACAGGTGGCATCCTGGTGAAGGTGCTAGATTCCCATATGGGCCACCACAATTTGAGCTTGTAACTCATGCCAGGTGCATATGAGTGCTGCCCAAAATCCTGAAAAGAGAATGGAGGAGAAAGAATTGTGGTGCGGCCATCAACCTTAGGGGTTGATTTCTCACTTTCTTTCCCACTGTCTCTCTCTGTTCTGATAAGTACACATACCTTAGAGCAAAAATTGCTATTAAAACAAGAGAAAAAGAAAGAACGAAAGAGAGAAAGGAAAGAAAGAAAGGAAGGAAGAAAAAGAAAGAAAATATTTAACCTGTATGTATTCTCTCTGCAATCCTTATGGTAACTTGAAAGGCATCTTCTTTGTCCTCATGTAAATTTATTAAATTTACTATAGGTTAATCCAATCTTCCTTCATATACACCAGCACATGGCTAGTTACTGTACTGCTAGTTCATCAAATTTTAAAAAAGAACTTATAGCCTTACTATTTTCTTGCACCTACTAACAGTGAATTGAAATCATATTCTGACAGAGTTTCTATCGCTTCCTCTGTCAGCCCCAGTTCCAAACACAACCTTTCACAGGACTAGGTCCAGCTAATCATGACGCATATGCTTAATATTCTGAAATTTAAAATTAAGCTTGTAAGCTTCTATGGTTGCATGTTTTCTAAAATCAATTACCAATTTTTATAATTATCACAAAAACCTTGAATTTTAACTTGAAGTTTTTGTATTTATAAATATCAAGTATTTTACTGGTGGGGGGAGGGAGATTTGTCTACATTTCCTATAAATTCGATGTAATTTCCTAGAGATGCTTTCTAAATGACAACCAAATCTCCAAATTAAAAATAAGTTTGTAGACGTAATATATATGTGTATATGTATATGTGTGTATATAAATATATATACACATTTATAAATATACAATGATTAAATGCAATATATGAAATATAAAAATTACATATATATTATCTATATATAATTTTAATATACATCATATATAAGCTATATATTATTATACATCTTTACAGAATACAGTATGGTTTCTCAAAGCATACATTCATTGCATGTCAAGCAAGTAAAAAATATTACTGTATACATCATCTTCAACAGATAACTTTCCATTCCTAAGTTTGTCAAATTCTGTTTGTTTTTTTTTTCCTTTTCTTTCTGAGCCCCTCTTTCTCACCCCTCCACTGTACACTACCTCCTATTCAGTCTCTGGTATCTATACTGGCTGTCTCTTTTCTTTTTATCTTCCAACTTTTCAGTTTCTGCCATAGAATACAAACATTTAGAATATAAGGAGTGGGGACATACAATGTCTATTTGTCATAGTCTGGCTTATAGTCTTACAGCTTTTTTTAAAAAAAAAGCAAAATCAGTCTAAAGAATGAATTCAGTGTTTTATTTCAATGTAAAGAAAGTATTTAGGGGTCATAGGAAGTATTTCTCTAGTCCAAAAACAGTTGAGTTCTCAGGCCTACGCTACGAATGGAATGGAGTTTCTTGCCTTGTATTGCCCATAACGAAGGGCTTCATTTTCTTAGGATGGGCCACTGAGTATAATGTTGCTTTACACATTTCAAAACCTATCAAGGGAACCAGCAATTAGCGTAATGGCTATGTTGCTGGACTCCCACGTAGTCGACCGCGGTTCACGTCCCGGACCCGTTGGCTTAAAACTCATGCCGGGCGCATGTGCGTGCGTGCCCAAGATCCCGAGAGGAGAATGGAGGAGAAGGGATTGCGGTGTGACCATCCCCCCTGGGGGGTGATTTCTCGCTTTCTGTCTCTATGTCTCTCTCTGCCTGTCTGGCGAGCGCACGTGCCCTATAGCAAAAATCTCTCTAAAAAATAAAAAACCTATCAACATAATACCAATAAAGAAACCACAAAAGATAAATAAGTTTTAAAATATAGCTATTTCTTTTGTTTAAAGAATTAATTTATTATTATTTTTAATTTGACCATAGAGAGACAGAGAGAGTGAGGGAAAGTGAGAAAGCAACTCCAGGACTCGAATCAGGTACCATGTGGGAGTCCAGCACCCCAACCACCATGCCACCTACTAGCTATTTCAAACTTTAGCACTAAATTAAATACCACTAAATTAAAAGACAAATAAAAATATTTGCAGCATACCTTAACATAGATTTTTCTTTTTTTAATATGTGCATTATTTTGCCATAGGGCACATGTGCTTGCCAGAGTGAGACAGAGAGAAAGAGAGAAATCTTCACCCCCCTTCTTCCCCCAGGAGGGATGTCCACACCACAATCCCTTCTCCTCCATTCTCCTCTTGGGATTTTGGGTACATATACCTAGTATGGTTTTCAAGCCACCAGGTCCAGGATTTGAACCAAGTAGTTGGCCATGCGGGATCCAGCATCTTAATTACCATACTACTTGCTGGCCCATATACAGATTTCTTACAAATAACTAGTACATACACACACATTCACTCTACCCTCCAAAACAGAAGATTAGTAAACATCTAGAAAAATGAAGGGTTAACCTCTCTAAATGTCATTTTAAATTCAGTAAATGGCCAAAGATGTAAAAATCACAAACAATACTAGGGAATATATAGGAACGAAGGCCCTATGGCATACTTCTGGTGGTAATAAATATTGGTGCCACCCTCCAAAAAATCTAACCATATAGATCAAAACCCCTATACTATGGTATAAATGATTATGTCCCCTGCAAATTCGTATGTTGAAATCCTTATCCTCATGGTGAGGGTATTGGTAAGGGAGACCTTTAGGAGGCAATTAGGTCCCTGGGGTAGAGCTCTCAGGAATGGGTTATATACAGTGCCCTTATATAATGGATCTAAGAAAGACCCTTTGTCCCTTCCATCACGTGAGGATACAGCAAGAAGGTGCTATCAGCCAGAAAGCAGGTCCTTACTCGTTATCAAAGCTAGGATCTTGATTTTGGACTTATAGCCTCCAGAACTGTGAGAAATAAATTTGTTCTTTATAAACCACTCAGTCTGAAATATTTTGTCATAGGAGCCTGAACAGACCAAGACACCTTATAAATGTGTATTCCCTTTAATCACCAGTTCTAATTCTAGGTTTTGGTCCTTACCCAAACTTTAGACAAGCATCTGTAAAGATTTTTATCATAAGAACTTCGATACACACACAGATTAAAAATAAAAAAGATCTGAAATGATGCACATAAGATATTAATGTGATTATATTTGAATAAAACTGAAGATCAGTATTTTTTTCTTTTTTTTACTCATTTGTATTGTCTAAAGTTTCTGTAATGAACACATGATTTTTATAACAATTTATTTCTTCTAAAGAGAATACTTTAAAAGCATAGAAATTAGTGACTGGAACTTTGAGATTTCCTATCCACAGTTACCTACAGATCAAATTTTATTCCAGTTGATCCAATGGGGCAGACTGAATGAGAAAAACAAAATGGTGGGCTCCCCCAGGCAGTGACTCTTGCTTCTTCCTTGGTTATTCCTATCTACAGAGAAAATTGTTCAAGGAAGATGTTTATAACCCCACACACATTTGCAATAATTTCAACCATGGAATTACAAATTTCCATACCTATGCAATGTTTGTTTTAATGAAACCAAACACCTGAGCAAAATCTGTGAAAGTATAAGATGTACAAGGCAATATCTTGTACTTCCAAAGTGGCAACTTTCCCAAGAGCTCCACAGTAAGCAAACATTCTTTTCCCCTATCCTTGGGTACAGACTGGAAAATGCAGCAAATAAGAAATACAAAGCCTAGATGCAAAACCCAAAACACCACTGTAAGGTAGCCAGGCTGGCAGGTGTTGGCCGAAACGGCTGCATGCCACACAGTAAAATGCCTGCTGCAGCCACGCATTTACAATCAGTTTGGCAGTGTTTCCAACACAGGCTGAGGGATTTAGATTTCCCCATATAAGGCAATGACAAGAATTTCAAATGGACCAAACATTTCATATTAGTGTCAACAGCACTAGCACAGCTTCAGCTGGCAGAAGAGAGGGAAACCAAAAATATCTGCATTATTTACTCCAGAGAAACTGCCTGAGTGCCATCTGTTCTCAGCTCACCCACTCAACCCAATGTGACCCCTTTCTTCAGTACACCCTTACCCAGCTCTGTGAGCCCCCCAATCATAAGTCTGGGCCCAAGAGATTTAAACCCCAGTGCTTCTCTGAATACAAAAATTTGGAAAGTTAATGCCAATAGAGCAGTTGTTGACACAGATCTCTTCATGCTGCAAAGTTATTACTTGTCCAGTAGCAAAAACAATTTGCCCCTCCAACCTTTATTCTGATGGAATGCAATGCTTCCCCTATATAACATATGTGTGTATAGAGGTGGGTGGTGGCCGGATTACACAGCATGGAAAAATCAATGCGCTTATATTCTTAGGTCTATAAACTGGCTCAAGGTCACAGAAGTTGAATAGGAAAGCCTTAACAATAGGAAATAGGTTGCATAGAGCAAAGACAAGACATTTCTCCATCTATAAACTGCATATAGTGTCTACATTTGGGACTAGTTAATTTTTATAGAAATGTTGGCCTTCCAAGAAATAAACTGTCCCACTCTGATGATCAGGAGGACAGAGTCAGTAAGCAAATCAAGACTAAACAAGATCTAACAGCATTACTGTATTTGATCCATATAAACTATAAAGAAGAATATTAAAATAAAATTCCCTGAGGGAGAAAAAACCTAGATTTTTCATCAAAAATAGAAATGACTCATTTGTACAGAAATATTTTACAATTTATTTGATAAACTTGCTTAAAAGAACATGAGAGATTTCCTTTTTCTTTTGCACATATTCGTATCCTGCACTAAGAAAGTAGAGATTAAAATCTAAAATGACCCCAGTGTCCCCAAACCTGATCTGAGAACTGGATAAGAATCAGTTGCTGAGGGAAAAGCCTGTAGCACCCACAAGCTCTCACAAACTTAAAAGCATCAAGTGATTTCTTCTATATATATATCTCACTCACATCACTCTAATTATACTTCCAATAAGAGGCAAAACCAATTAGAAAAATAATGTAACATTCCACTGGCAGTAGAGATTAAATATGAGTTCAGTAATCAGTGCCTGCAAACATGCGTAAATAATGACAGGAAGAAACTGGTCAGCCCCAACTGCTCATTGGAATGGGTGGGCAGTTGAAATCAAGGAGCAAACAGTCAGGCCCAACAAAATCACATTAAGGAAAAGCATCTCATGAGGTTTTTGAAGGTCAGTTGACGAGGCTCTGATGGACGTAAATATTTCTCAAATACCCTGCAAGAAAAGAAAACAAAAATTACCACAAGTAGCAAAATAAAACTTAACACTTTTGTAGTCCAAAATGAAGTTTCTTCAAAAAACACTCTTCACTGTATTAGGGTAAAATATCCATTTTTTCATGAGTTAAAGTACCAGTGAAATGATTTAATTTTTTTTTTTTGAGAGGTTTTCGCTATAGGGCGCGTGCACTTGCCAGACAGACAGAGAGAGACAGAGAGGCAGAAAGCGAGAAATCACCCCCCAGGGGGGATGGCCACACCGCAATCCCTTCTCCTCCATTCTCCTCTCGGGATCTTGGGCACGCACGCACATGCGCCCGGCATGAATTTTAAGCCACCGGGTCCGGGATGTGAACCATGGTTGACTACGTGGGAGTCCAGCAACATAGCCGTTACGCTAACTGCTGGTCCCATAATGATTTAATTTTTAAGCCACATTGCACTTGAATCACAAAATAGTCTCTGTCAATAACAAAATGGCTTGTCAAGCAACACCTCATTGGCTGTGCTCTAAGAGGTAGGCTAACAGGGGTCACAAATAATAGTGTTCATAAATGTCACCTATCTCCACAGTTTGAGCAAGGGCAGGATGAATACAATACAAAGCAGAACAATTTAAATGGAAATGTATCAAGGAGTGTTATACTGTATTATGCAGCAGGAAGGTGACTTCTAAGGGGACCCTGAGGCAGGGAGATAGACTAACTAATGAGTCCCCAACCCACACCATGTACAAAGGGTCAAGAAATCTCCATCAATGCTGGGCCAAGCTACATTTAGGATACAGACTATTGCTGTTTTTTCTAACACTAGGAAAATAAACTCTCAGGTTGCCTCACAGGTCATGGCAAATGTTCAACTGCCCTTGAAAGGACTGAAGAGTTTCCGTAGCATTCCAAAGGACCTTGTCTACCTGTGTCAAAGAAAATATTGAAAGTGATCTTTTAAGTGTCCTCCCATGGGTTCCTCATAAAAATTAATAGGTAACCCTTGAAAATCAAAGTGCATTTTAAAAATATAAAAGCAATTTTAGATGATTGAAGAATTAATGATATATTAGAGAATATAAGGAGACTGTGATTTAAGCTGAAAATGGTTTAAAAAATAAAGATCAATCCAGTCTGTCTATTCAACATACTCTTATTGAGATGGCTCACTACTTAAGTGTCTTGATGATATTTCAAGAATCAGCTTTTTGGGACCAGCAGATGGCATAGCAGTTACATTGCTAGACTCCCATATGGCCGACCATGGTTCAAGTCGCAGTCCTGGTGGCTTGAAAATCAAACTGATTGCATGTGTGTGCATTCTCAAGATCCTGGAAAGAGGATGGAGGGGAAGGGATTAAAGCATGACCATCACTCCTGGAGCAGGGGGGTAATTTCTCATTTTTCTTCTCATGGTCTCTGTCTCTCTCCCCAGTGACCACATGTACCCTAAGGCAAAAACCTCTAAAAAAAGAATCAACTTTACTTTCCATGGCTTTTATCATATTTTCTGCCTTCCTCTTTTTTTTTTTCCTCTTTCCTGGACTTTTTACCAGTCCCAATATATCCTTTAGGTTCCATCTATGAGTTAGGGCACAGTTTTCCTCTTATTCCTTGTAGAAGCTTGTTCTCATCTATCAATTTAAAAAATGACATGTTCTTGATGTACCACACATACCGACTTTTGACCATTTGTTATTTCCAATACATGTTATTAATAAAACTTTAGTTTATGGTTTCTTTTCTGACTTCTATATGGTACCTTTTGATGAACAAATGTATTTTTTAATTAATTTATTTTTCCTAGTTTTTAAAATATTTTTTTCACTTTTTTATTCCATTTTCTTTAATACATCCAATCACATTATTTAGCTTACAAAATGAATATTTCAACAGGTGAACATTTCTTCCTAGTCCAGTTGATAAAACTACAAAATATCTTCAACAGAATATACCACAATTCTTTGTCCCAGTAATGCTTCGCCTCCTTATTTTTCTTCTAAATGTCCTTCCTTAGACCCTACTCTTTCACACACACTATATCTGGTATTTATATCCATATACTGTGTTTCTATATCCTTTAGACAATCAATTTCAGTCATAGAGTTCGGACACAGTATATATTAAGTATATTGTATATACAATGTCTCTCCTTCATAGCTTGGCTTGCTTCACTCAGCAGTAAATCCTCCATATTCATCCACTTCCCGTCAAAAGCCAGGATTTTGTTGTTTTTTTTTATGGCTGAATAGTATTCCATCGAGTATATGTGCCACAGTTTTTCTAGCCACTCATCTGTTCATGGGTATTTGGGTTGGTTCTATGACTTAGCAATTGTGAATAGAGCCTCAATAAACATTGATGTTGAAGGACTTTTCCGATTAAGTATTCTTCTGTCCTTTGGGTAGATACCAAGGAGTGGGATTGCTGGATCATATGGTAGTTCTATTTGTAGATTTTTGAGGAATCTCCAAATTGTTCTCCACTGGCTGGACCAATTTACATTCCCACCAGCAGTGTAAGAGCATTCCCTTTTCACCACACCCCGCCAGCACTTATCTTCTTTTTTTTTTTTTAATATTCATTCTGACTGGGTTTAGGTGGTATCTCATTGTGGTTTTGATCTGCATTTCCATTACAATGAGGGATATTGAGCATTTTTTCATATGCCTTTTAGCTATTCGTATGTCATCTTTAGAGTGTGTTTTTTGTTTGTTTTTTTTTGGAGAGGTTTTCGCTATAGGGCGCGTGTGCTCACCAGATAGACAGAGAGAGACATAGAGATAAAAAGCGAGAAGTCACCCCCCGGGGGGATGGTCATGCCGCAATCCCTTCTCCTCCATTCTCCTCTCGGGATCTTGGGTACGCATGCACACGTGCCTGGTGTGAGT